GGTAGACAGTAGATCGTACCAGTTTTAAGGACAAAAGTTCAGTGCCTAAGGGCAATGATTCTTAAAAGAGGGTAGTGATGATCGCTCCAACTGTTCTCTGGCCTTGTCTCAGACTCATGCCTAAATCTCAAAGGACTTTCTCAGAATAAAAATGGAAAGGTCTGTTTTGTTAAAAATTCTGAGTGACACTGGGACCTCGGTGATACAGTATGACAAGAGGAAAATTATTCTTGAAAATCCACTGCAACTTTGACATGGGCTGGCAACTGTCCCTGCAGGACAGGGACTGAAGACAGCACCTTCAGTGCAAACGCTCAAGTCCTCTGAACTGGTCTTACTGGGAACTCCACATGGAAATGACTACATCAGGGCCAGGGACAGCCTGAGGGAAATGGACATAACTCACGACGGCAGAGAGGTCAGTATGTCGGAAACACTTTCAAGTCTCTTCCTTGAACAGTTGGGAAGGACTTTGAAGGAAGGCTCATCATTCAACAGATGGGGCAGAGTCTGTGAGACTCAGTGTGTGTCAGCTATTATAACCGAGTCTGACTACCAAGATGACAGCACCTGAAAAATATGAATTACACACCTCTACATTTTCCTTCAGCCTCTTAAGTTTGTTATTGCATAACTAATGAACAAATAACACGTAAAGGAACACTTTGCAATTTGTTTTATTTTTGAAATAATTATCGATTCACAAGTCTTTTTTTTTTTTTATTAGATTCACAATAAGTTTTAAAAGAAGTGCAAAGAGGTCCCAGAAACTCTTCACCCAGTTTCTACTAATGGTAACATCTTAATAATTGTACCAAAATCAGGAAATTGACATTAGTACAATCCATAGATCTCACTCAGATTTTACTAGTTTTACATGCACTTGTGTGTATCTAAAGTTCAATGCAATTTTATCACGTGTAGATTTGTATAGTCAACCCCACAATCAAGACTTGCACCATCACCACAAACATCCCCCTGCTATACTCCCTTATAGTCACACCCATCTCCTTCTCTTTCTGTATCTTCCATCACCACCACCCTGCCTTCCCCCTTCCTAACCCCTGACAACCACTAATCTGTTGTCTATCTCTGTAATTTTGTCATTTTGAGACTGTTATATAAATGGAATAATCCAGTTTGTAGCCTTTTAAGTTTAGCTTTATTTCACTCAGTATAATTTCACGTGTTTGTATTTTAGTCTATCAGTTCAGTTCAGTTGCTCAGTCATGTCCGACTCTTTGTGACCCCATGAACCGCAGCACGCCAGGCCTCCCAGTCCATCACCAACTCCTGGAGTTTACCCAAACTCATGTCCATTGAGCCAGTGATGCCATCCAACCATCTCATCCTCTGTCGTCCCCTTCTCCTCCTGCCTTCAGTCTTTCCCAGCATCAGGGTCTTTTCAAATGAGTCAGCTCTTCCCATCAGGTGGCCAAAATATTGGAGTTTCAGCTTCAATATCCATCCTTTCAATGAACACCCAGGACTGATTTCCTTGTGTATATATGTTAGCAGTTATGACTCTGTATTTGTCAGGGAATAAAATGATATTAAAATGTCTCCTAGATTCATCGAATGGCTGGTCTTATTTCTGACTTACACTGGGATTTTTTTATTTTTCTATCTTCAGTAATCTTACCTATAAACATGAACAGGGTAATGTGTATGTGTGCTAAGTTGCTTCAGTCATGTCAGACTCCGTGACCCCATGGACCGTAGACTGCTAAGCTCTTGTCCATGGGATTCTTCAGGCAAGAGTACTGGAGAGGATTGCCAGGCCCTCCTCCAGGGGATCTTCCCCACCCAGGCATCGAATCCACGCCTCTTATTTATGTCTCCTGTAATGAGAGGCCCTTTCTTTACCACTAGCCCCACCTGGGAAGGCCAGTAGGGTAATGATGTTGGTTAAATGTTAACTACCACTGCATATTGCAATGTTTTAAGGCAAATGTTCAAAGGTTACATTTTGTTCAAACATCATAATGGAGGGAGCAGGGAGTGTCTCATCAGATGAAGGTGTTTCAGGGGAATTTCTTACAATAAAAATTAGAATAAAAACAAAAGAAGGTAAAGTGTTAGAAAATTTAAACTAAATTATTTTAACTGTCTTTACTTTTCAAAAGTATAGAGCAATTAGCAAATAAAGACTGTTTATTGATGAAGATCCTCTTCCTCATCAGGAAGCCAGTATACAGAACATATAGCTCTTTATGCCAAGGCAGGTCACGTGAGTGATTATCTGATAGTTCCAGAAACTCAGAAACTTGTGGTGACATTATAGAAGGCCACAGCTTTCTAATGCCATATGGATTATAGGAATAGCTAGTATTCTAAAAGTGGTCATAGAAGAACTAAATTCCACTCTATTTATTGTTTTTGAATCAGAGAAACTCACAAAATGTATGGCGCTCAATCCATGAAAAATCTTTTAAACTTATGACCAAGAGGCAGGGGAGAGGGCAGGGTTACACCTTGTGTTCTGTCCTGAGCTGTATTCTTACTATCTAGGCTTCTGTTATAAAACTGGATATGAGTGTTTTAGGAAATGCATACAGTTCTGTTCATTTCAGTCAGGTACACTTTAATACTGGAGCCCTTTCAGAGTTATCGTTAGTACTACGGTCAGTGAGTTTGAGACAGACTTCACATTCATTTTTTAATACTGAAATTTGTTAGCTATCATAAGGTATTGGCTAAGAGAAATACAACTTTTAAAAGTATCAATTGGTTCAGCTTTTGGGAATCATTTTGTCAATATTTACGAAATCTGAGAATGCTTATGCCTTTTGTCCTGCAATTCTGCTTCTAGGAATCTATTCCTTGATATAATCATATACAAGCAAAGATGCTCATACATATATGATGTTCTTCGAAGTACTGTTAATTATTTTGAATAATTAGAAAAAATGTAAATTTCCACTAATTTGGAAAAGGTTAAATAAAATTATGGCACATGAAAATATGAAATAATAGGCAGTATTAAAAAGAATTAAGTAGACAAAAAGTACTGACATGAAAAAAATCTCTAGGATTTTTAAGTGAAAAAAGCAAAAAATGGTGAGGTTCTTAGAAGTATGCATGCACAATTGTTAAGTGGCTATCATGGGCAGGGGGTAGCTTGTGAAGAAAAACAATAACTTTTTATATTTAATATTGTTTTGAATTTTCCAAAATGAGCATATATGTATATTATTACTTGTACAGCTTAACAAAAATTGAGGCAATTTTATCAACAGAATACACCCCTCAAACAACAGGAAGGCCTCAGCAGCTACTTATCTTGCTGGTATTTTTAATACCCACCTGGCAATGTAGGGTGGCAATGTTTACAACTGCAGCTTAATATTTAGATTTAACATAAGAAACAAAGTATATTTGACCTTTTGAAAAGTGGGATTTAGGTTAGATACAGTATTTTAAGAATGATCTTTCTTAATAAGATACTTGAGCTATTCAAAAACTGTGTTTTGCCAACAAACAAATAAAAAACTAAGGGAGGAATGCATGCAACCGTCAAGACTGGAACCTGATTTTCTTGGTCAGCCCTGCAGTGCTTGTCAAATAGTAAACAACAAATACTGACTGAATGATGGGTGAATCGACAGTTTAAATCCTTTCAGTAGCACCCACTTTTTAAAAAGCAGGATAAAAAAAAGATAGTAGCAAGGATAGACGACGGAGCTTCTAGTTACTGGCTTTTCGAATGAGGCTGAGAAGGAGCTGTCCCCTCTTTCTACCCAGGAAGTTAAGAATTTGGTGGAGGACAGTGTTCAGTGGCTCACGGCTTGGCGATCTGTGAATCGAAAAATCATTCAATTTCAGAACCAAACAGAATATGAGGGGAAAAAACAGAGTTGCCACTAGTTATATGCTTATAATCTTGCTCAGACTAAAAGGAAAGGGTTTCAGTGGGTGTCAAACTGTCGGCAAATCACTCATGGCTAAATTTTCATCTGAAAAACGAGAATAAGCACTCTTTCATAGTTTTCTGGGGTTTTTTTAATAAGGAAAATGTGGAAACTTTTATAAAATGCTACCAATATAGTGGCCATTCCATGTAGTGCAATGAATGTTTCCTATAAATTCAATCCCAGACTGAATGAAAAGCACTCAGAGACTAAAGCTGCAGGAAGAGGGCGCCCTGGAGCCGAGCCGGAGGGCGGCTGAAGGCGGGGCCCAGGGAGGGCGTCGACGCTGAGGGGCGGGGTGAGGCGAGGCGGGGACGCGCTCGGGGGGGTGGGGAAGGCGGGGGCGCGGCGGTGGCGGGAGCGTCCCTGGTCTCCGCCCCTGTTTCCCACTCTCCACCTCCGACCGGCCGGGGCTCCGGAGAGGCGCCGCTTGCCGGTTCCCGGAGCCGCCCTGTTGCCGCCGCCTCCTTCCTCCGCTCGCGGTGAGCCCGTCAGTCCCCGCACTGTGCTCGCCTCCGTCTGGGCCATGGATGGGTAAGTGCTCGGCGGCGCGGCGGTCACCGGGCTGCGCTCGTCCTCTTTCCCGCAGCTCTCGGCCGGACGCGCCGGAGCTGGGAAGCCGGGCGCGGCTCCGGCGACCAGAGGAGCGGCCCCGGCCGGGCCCGACGGCAGGGCTTCCGGGCGCCTCCTTTGGGGAGCCCCGAATCGCGGAGAGGCGGTCCGCCACAGCCTCTCTTTCCCCCTCGGGGCGCCTCCCCCAGTCCTGCCGCCGCTGCACACCCTCGCCCCGGGAAGCGGCGGAAAGCCCCGTGCAGCCCCCGGGTGCCGAGGTCCGCCCTCCGCCCGAGAGTCGGTGGAGCCCGGCCCGGCCTCCCGACACTTCCTCTCAGAAAATGGTGCGCGGCGCTGGGGGAGGCGGAGGCGGCGCTCGGGGCGGGCGTCCTCCCGCTCTGGGAGTTGGTGTTTACCGGTGAGGTGGGGCGAGCGCTGGAGCTTCCCCTGGCGGGGAGACGAGTGGCCGCGGAGTGGCGGACGCCGAGGGCACGCGCCGGTAAACGTCTGGGCGGCGACCGGAGCCGGGGCCCCACGCGGTCTCCGGGCTTCTGCTGGGAGCTCTGTTACGATTACGGTACACCGGGCGTCTTGACTCGGTGACCAGGGATGCGTCCGCTTACCAACCCCACCTCCGCCCCCAAGGAACTTCGTAAATTCCCTGCTCCTGTATGCAAAAAAAAAAAGTGCGATTTTCGGGGCGTTTTGAAACGCTCTAAAAGTGAATGAAGTCTGTGGCCAAAATAAAGATTTAGGGTCATCGATGTAAATATTTCTCTGGGGACCCAGGGTCCTGGGGTGGGACCAAACCAATATTTGAATGATTAAGAAAACAACTAGATTAAGATCTTAGTGAATTAGTTGAAGGTTCTAGTATATGTCCGTCAAGGTAAAAAAAAAAACACAAAACCTCCTGCTCTCATAGAGCCTGCAGATCCACTTATTTTCATTATGCACTTGAGATTTTGGTTGGCCTGTTACTTGATTTTGATGGCAAAATTTCTGTAAACCTCTTGGTTGTAAATATATGGAACTTCCTTGTACAGTAAAATCACATATATGTTGCCATACAGTTGATTGTTGTCATGCTGTGTAAAGATCTTCTTGTGTAAAGAGATCTTCGAACGATTTTTGCCTTCATTAGATTTCATTTATCCTAGTTTTATAAATCTATAAATATATTTGAATGCAGATTGCACACTATTACAGACGTTAGACAAAGTGCAATTTTAGATTTCACTTATTGTGATGTTCTCTAAAGTTTTTTAAGATTTAATTGAAGCTGTTTTTGTTTAATTGAAGCTTCTCAGAGCATTGTTAAAAACTCATTTTACATCACCTTTTTTCAACTACACTTCCTATGGGTGCAAGATTTTGCTGTCTTTATTATTTGTGTGAGTATGCCAGTATTTCAGTTGAGGAAGGCTGTAAAAGTAGTATTTCATTATGTGTAGTGAATTGTCTTTAGTGGTTTGACGTGAGACGTGGAAGCAGGCTAGCTTTTTGTATTGGAAACTTTACAGTGTTATAAAGAGGACTCTTGGATTATGCATCTTGGCTGTTAAACTCTTGGGCAACTGTGAAGTGCAAACTTACTCTTTTGGGTAGTGTTTAAGAAATTAACTTTTTCTTTCCCCTAAATGTGGTTTGAAAGCTAAGAATGAGTTTATTGGTTTAAGTATCCGAGGCAATAAGAAATATTGGAAGGTAAGTTCATTTGGGAATTCAGGTAGGAGCATGCTCTTTGCCTCCGGACCAATACTGCGGTGTACCTTACACAATCTAATTTTTTATGCACAGATGTCTGAGATATCACATCTAAATTTAAAACAAACCAAATTCGAGTTTCCAAAGCATATAAGAAAAAAAACTTTAGCCTATATCGTTATTGTTTAAAACAAATTTGTGTCATTAGACAAATATAAATTTGTTTTACTTCTATTAAGTAATGATATAGGTTATTAACAATATATAGAATTTTATTAGCACTTTCTTTTAGAAGATATCGAGACAAACTTAATAGAAAACAGTTTCTTTGGGGTTAGAAGAGATGGATTTTTGTTTGGCAGAACTATATAGGGTTTTTTTTAACATCTTGATGTTAAGGGAAACTCAGTGAGTTTATGCTTTCAGGAGGGTAATTAAATTTCTACATTTCTCCATAGCCTGAAAAAAGGTCCTTTTTCATTATTTTGGATAGTTAAAAAAAAAAAAAACAAAACCTCCAGTCAACATATCTTTCTAGTTCCACCTCAGTTGCCAACTGTCCTTGTGTGTATGTGTGTGTATGTTCATTTCTTTCTGAGGTAATTTAATCACAGATTATGATGCAGTAGAACTTTTTTAAAAGCAAATCTTTGACAATTTTGATGTCTTAAGTTTGATGTTTGTAATTCTTTTAGTTCTAAGACTTTCTTAGCTATATTTTGCTGAGCTATTTGAGTGGTGGATGCAAATTTTCAAGATATTTTATATTTCTATAAAATCCACTCACTGGTTTTGTTTCATTTAAAACTTTTAAGTATGGTTACTCATGCCAGTGATTTAAAAGAATGAACTTTGGTGATTATAAGGCTTGGTTGGATTTGTTAAATAGAGGTAAATGGATAAACACACTTTCATCTTATTGAAACAATTATTTTTCTAAATACTGAAAGAGAATTTGATTTATTATTTGTTTCTTATATTGCTGTTAAAGCTTTGCTTTTACACTCTGTTGGCTAGACTGTCCCATCCATTTTTCTTTGTATTAACATTTCACAACTTGTCGCATTCTTATTTTTATTATTTATTATAATGCTTTTTCTTTTTTCTTTATCTTATTATCTCTGTCTTTTAAAAACTTGTTTCTAACTTTGTTTTCCATTTTCTCTTTTTACTTTTTCCATACAGTGTTGTTACAGATCTTATAGCAGTCGGTTTAAAGGTAGGAATCTTTTAATATCCTTCCATAAGCATTTAAAAATCTTAGTTTTAGCATTTTTTTTCCAATGGTGAAATCATCTCACCTGTTCATAAAATTACCTGTTTTAATGTATGGTTATAATATTTTGTTTTTATTTAGCTCCACCATTAGTAGACCTGTAGCTAGTTTTGGGTTTTATGTTTGTATAAAGAGTGGTTACAATATTATCTTGTTTCTATAAAATGTGAACAGTAAGTTTCACTTGAACTGTCAGTGTATTTGTTTTTGTCTTGTTTTAACAGTTACATGTGACCTTGGCTCTAATTTATTTTCCTGTCATGTCCTTCCTTTTATCTTCTCTTGGATACATTTATGAGTAATAAAATAAAAATAGCAGCTAGTTTCTTCAGTTCCTGTTATATGCAAGCTGCTTTACATATATCTCACTAATCATTAAAACATTCATTCAAATTAGGTATTAGTATTCCCATTTTAGAGATGAAAAAATAGGTTCAGAAAGTTAATGTTTAAGGCATGGTGCCTCAGAATTCAAACCCATGTCTTTGTGGTTCCAAAACCAGACTTTTTTTTTTCTTTGTTTTTACCTCACTGCCAGTAATGAGGAGGGTACTATCTACAAGATGAACAGCAGGAGAGCTGGATAATTAATTTTTTACAATAATAATTCTAAGTTATAAGTCATTTCAGTTTTATCAAAGTCGTTTCATTTATTGGATTCCGAAATATAAATCAAGTTCGTTAATATGAGACTTTTAAAATATAGATGGAAGTTCAAGATTTCTTTTAGCAATTTGGTATTTGATATACCTGAATTGAGAATCTAGTTCTAAAGGCCACTTACAGTTCAGATTACTGTAAAAAATAGAAATAGTTGATGTGAACATTGCATGTATTTTATGTAAAGCTGTTCTGCTTTCTGTCCATCATCTCTTGCTAACAATTTCAATAATTCTGCATTTGGGCTTATTAAACCTGATGGTGGTGCTCATATTCTTAAAACATCTTAAGATATAAGCATACATATAGTGAACAGCGTTTTAGATTAACGGTAGGTTGCTCAAGATTAGCGTAATTGGGAACTACTGCTTATACTGTCTTTTGAAGTTGAATGGTGTTAGCTTGCTTTAGCAAACTTTGAATATATTTTATGAGTTCAAAATAAATGGAGAAGTGGCTTTTGGTGGGATATACCTTTTTTTGGGGGGGGTAAGATACTTAGGTCAGTTTCTCATTTGGGAATGAATACTCGTAGATTAGAAACTGCAGGCTTATTTTTTGGATCCCTTTTGGTGTTTCAGTAGGGGCCTATGAAGGAAGGGATATTTAAAGTGAGCATTGCTTTGGTCTTATCAGAAATGTAATTTGTGACTCTAGAGTTCGTATGGGAAAAATGAATACATGAGACATTTAAAAAATTTACCACTTGGGAATTGAGGAGTTATGCTTGAAGGACTGTCATGCCTGTTTTGTTGTGGGGGAAATATATATCTTGATGATAAATAAAAGAAAAATTTAAATGTAGGGTGCAAGGGACTAGATTTGAATACACAATTTGGATTTCTTAACTACCTGTGTTGCAGTAAGCACTTTGGAAAGAAAGATTAAATTCTAGTCTGAAGAAAAGATGAGCTGATTAGTTGATTCACTAGGCAGTACTGGAAATGTCTGAAAAAGTATTCATTATATGAAGAACATTCTCATAAGGTTGTTCTGCTTCTTTCTTGGATTCCATCCAAGGAAGTTTAGTTACCAAGTAATAGGCCAATAAGGCTCATATTTCCTCTAAATTTTATAAAACAAAATTAGCAAATTTAAAATAAGTCCTTCAAGAATGTCTGTTACTTTTTTTTTTTCCTCTTTGAATATGACGACGCAGGAAAGCGTTTTAGCCAGTGAAAGAGTGGAATTCAGGTGATGCTCCATCAGTTGCTTTCCTGGATGCAGGAAAGTAATATGGATCTTATTTTAGGGACTTGAAAATACCCTTAAATATGAAATCCATTATCTTAGAGAAAGAAAACTAAATTGTTTTTAGAGATTAAGTGACTCACTGGAGTGTGTCATGAGGGCAGGAATTTTTGATATTTCCTTCACTACTGTGTTTCCAGTGTCTGGCACATACTAAGCTCTCAGAAATGCCTTATGAATGAGTGGATGCCAGATTCTCACACTGCCAATTAGGTGGCTAACTTATACCGGAACCCAAGCCTTCTAGTTTTGCTGGTGTTTCTTCTAATAGGTATATACCATGGTGAGAGAGGATTAAGTTCATTTTTTAGATTGGGATTTTCATGAAGATGAATAAACATTTTCAGGCAGCTTACATGTGCCTTGTTTGAGATTTATTTATACCTAGTTGTGTACCCTGGATGTTCTTGCAAGATATAAATTTTTGAGCCTTGTTTAAATTAGGCAAGGAAATTAGCTTTTGGTACTTCTCAGAAAATGCTTGTTTTATTTCCATTCGTTATTTAGTATTCTGAAATGCTTTTAAAAACATCAAGAAGGGATTGCTGTTCTTAATTTTCAATTCTTTTAGATAAAGAACAAACCAGGTGATTATGAGTGATACTGAACGTGTTTCAAAACCTTTATTATACCAGATAAATCAAAGCATCACCACTGTGGGTAACATAGCTTTTTATGTGTGTACCTAAGTATATTTTAAATTTCCAGTTCATACTTTAATTATTTACTAGCCAGTTTATCTTAAGTATTTCTCACATTCCTAGATAATTTTTCGGGATACTATTATAACTGTTAAATGATTTTCTAAAATGATGATCTTGCATATCAACCATATTAGAGATTTTCTGGTTGGTCTTTCTATTTTAAAATGATTCCATGAGTGTAGAAAAACAAGTTTAGGAAGGATTATAATAGGCTTCTAATAATTGTCATTGCCTGTCACCATATAGGAAAGAACAATGCATTGTATTTAATTTTTTAAAATTTGACTCTGAATTAGAAATTAAGCTAAATTAATTTTGAAGATTGATTTTCTGTTTGCTCCACCAGAAGTTAGCAGACTACTTATAGCCTGTGGACCAAATCCAGCTTGCCACCTGTTTTTGTAAATAGTTTTAGTGGAACATAGCCATGTTCATTAGTTTGCATATTGTCTGGATACTTTGATACAATGACAGAAGGGTTATAGCCGCCACCATATGACAGCAAATTCTAAAAGGTTTACTTTCTGACCCTTTGCAGAAAAAAATTCATCTGCTACTTGCTGTACTTGAACTACAGAAAGTACTAAAGGCCTTTGCCAGGAATTTTTTTTTTTTCTTTTAAACTGAGCTGTAATTTACATACAGTAAAATGCATGGATCTTAAGGGTACAGTGCAGTAAATTTGACAAACTTATCCCCCTGTTTCCTGTTGCCCTTTTCTAGACCCAGTCGAGGCAACTCTTGATTTCTATCACCACAGATTAATTTTGCATGTTTTGAACTTCATATAAACGGAGTAAAATGTTCATGCTGTGTGTATACAGCACAAGCTTCCCTGATGGCCCAGTGGTAGACAGTCTGCCAGCCAGTGCAGGAGACTCAGGTTCGATCCCTGGGTCGGGAAGATCCCTTGGAGAAGGAAATGGCAACCCACTCCAGTGTTTTTGCCTAGAAAGTCTCATTAGCAAAGGAGCCTGGAGGGCTATAGTCCAAGGGGTCGCAGAAGAGTTGGACATGACTTAGTGCTAAAACAACGATATACAGCATAAGCTCTTTGATGTCTGGCTTTTACTCAGCAAAATGGATTTTTAGATTTATTGATATCTATGTTCTATGTATCAGTACGTTTTTCTTCTTTCTTAATGAGAGTATTCCAAGATATTGAATAGAGTTCCCTGGGCTGTACAGTAGTTTATCTATTTATATCTATATAGCAGTTTGTATCTGCTTATTCCAAACTCTTATTCCTCCCTCTTTTACCTTTGATAACCGTAAGTTAGTTTCCTATGTCTATGAATCTGTTTCTGTTTTGTACATAAGTTCATTTATATCATACTTAAGATTCCACATGTAAGTGATATCATATGATACTTAATGTTTCTCTTTCTGACTTTCTTCATTTAATATGGTAATCTGTAGATCCATCTGTGTTGCTGCAAATGGCATTATTTCATTCTTTTTCTATGGCTGAGTAATATTCGTGTGTGTGTGTGTGTGTGTGTGTGTGTGTGTGTGTGTATCTTACAACTTCTTTATCCATTCATCTGTTGATGGGCATTTAGATTGTGCCCACATCTTGGCTGTTGTAAATAGTACTGCTAGGAACATTGCGGTACATGTATCATTTTGAAAAAGTTTCCATTTTAACTCCAGGATTATTTAGTAGCTTTAAAAGTTTAGTTGTCAAACATTAGCTATTCTTTTTTTTTATCATTTCTAATTTTATTATAGAAAACATAGTATGTTCAGTATATTTCTTTGAATTGTATTGAAACTTCTTTTATGAACTAAAGTGGGAATTGGCAGCTATTGTCTAAGGACTAAACAGGGCTCACTGCCATCTGTTTTTATACATCCTTTACTAAAATGGTCTTTATACTTCTGAGTACTTGAAAGAAATCCAATGATTAATATTTTGTAACAGGTGAAAAATAGATGAGATTCAAATCTCAGTGTCTATAAATAAAATTTTATTGAAACACAGCCATGCTCATTCATTTTCACATTGTCTGTGATTGCTTTTGTGAATTGTGACAGAGACTATTTGGCCCACAAAGTCTAAAATATCTTACTGTTTGGCCCTTTACATATAAAGTTTGCCAATCTGGCACAGTGTCTGTTTTTATAAATGTTTATTCTTAGCTGGCTGTCTGGTTCGGCATTCAGTATATCTGTTAGCTCAAGTTATTGATTGTTTTGTTTTTTCTGGTCATATTTTATGTGTTTGGTCTATTGGTTGCTAAGAGAAATGTATTAAAATTTCAGTTCAGCTGTTGATTTGTCTTTTTTTCCTTATATTTCATCAAGGCTTTCCTCTCATTAGTTTGG